CGTGAAGTTGATGAAAAAGGGGGACAATGTGGCAACATCGCCGACTGCCGTCTCCCGGTATTCTTTTATTTACTTTATGTACTAATTTCTATTATTTTTTAATTTTTCTTTTTCCAAGTAACTTTTATGGCCTGTGAGACCAATATGATCAGTATTTTGTAAGTTTTTTCTTTTTCAATACTACACAATAAGGGCATAAACACTGTTGTCATCGTTTTGTTTACAAAAAATATTTACACAAACAAACGATATGAAATGTTGTTTATTACTATTTTTCTATATTTTATATACACATATACAGTCACAGGGAATGTTTCTAGAAGCTCTGCAGCCTGTGGAAGTCTTTGAAACATGGTATCATACACAGTGGTGTTTTACACTCCTCACACATAAAACGAGTGTCTCTGCGTTGTTGTTGGCGTTTCCTTGTATGTGCACAGACGTAACACCTCTTCTGAGCCTTTTTCTTGAAAGCAGTAGCAGGCAGTTTTACCAAGAAGTGATCACCATGCTTCAGACGAGAAGGTAGTTGTTGATAATTTGGTGGGCGGTCTATTGCAGGTGTTCTTCCTTGGTACTTGAATACTATTTGTCTGATGACAGACAAACAGAATTCGCCATATTGAGGTTTGTTTCTGGTCCTCATCTTATACACATTATAAGCATTGAGCATGGAAATGTCCAGAAGATGGAAAAAGAGTTTTATGTACCACTTATAACGCTTGCGAACACAATCAGCAAACCCAATCTGCATGTCACATTTTCCACTGAATGCATATTGAAGTGTAATCAATCACAGCTGCAGGTTTTAGAATGAGTTCATTGCTCTCTCTGTGGTGCCTGCCAGTGTCTGCCATTTCATTAGGGTGAACTGATGACAACAGTGTGACATCTCGTTTGTCATACCACCGAAATGCCATGATGTCATTGGCAGCAAACGCCTGCACCTCACCTCTATGAGTGCCAGCGTCAAACCTGGGCATATGTTTCCGATTTACACGCACTGTGCCACACACATCTGTCATGTTCACTCGCAAACAATCACTGAGTATCAGTATATAATATTGTTTCAGACTATGGAACAATACTCTTCTCCAGACTGAGGGACTGACCACCTCAAAACTTCAAGGGTGATGGACTGATTACATCGTCTTCAAGTCTCTTCTGCTTCTATCAACTTTTCTGTACTCGACTGAAGAAGCCTACTGTGTAGGCGAAGCGTTTCGAAATAAAGATACATAACTGTTGCATATGTGTCTTACCTAACAACCTGTCGGTATTTTATACCATTTTAATGTTTAGACTGTTCCACTCATCAACTACTTTGTTTCCAGGCCAATGCTTTCCTGTGTCCTTTCTGAATCTAAACTTGTCTAGTTTGGGTCCGTTGCTGCAGGTTCTCTCTTGGAGAGATGTCCTCAGGACCTTGTTGGTGTCCCCTTTGTTAGTACCTATCTTCCACTTATACACTTCGATCAGGTCTCCCCTCATTCGTTGTCTAACAAGTGAATGTAACTTAAGAGTCTTCAATCTTTCTTCATAAGGAAGATTTCTAATGCTATGTATTAATTTAGTCATCCTATGCTGAATGTTTTCTAATGAATTTATGTTCATTCTGTAATATGGAGACCAGAATTGAGCTGCATAATCTAGGTGAGGCCTTACTAATGATGTATAAAGCTGCAGTATGACCTCTGGACTTCTGTTGCTTACACTTCTTGGTATAAATCTCAGTAATCTATTTGCCTTATTACGTACGCTTAGGCATTGCTGTCTTGGTTTAAGGTTGCTGCTCACCATAACCCCCAAGTCCTTTTCGCAATCTGTATGGCTAAATTCTACATCATTTAACTTATAAGTGCTAGGGTTATGGACACTCCCGAGCTTCAGAACCTTGCATTTATCTACGTTAAACTGCATCTGCCACTTTTCTGACCAAGAATAGTTTGTTTAAATCCTCCTGTAGTTCCCTAACATCTACGTTTGAATCAATTATCCTACCTATCTTTGCGATAGGTATTAATAAAGGGGATATTGATGGGGTCTTGAGGATGTCTCTCCAAGAGAGAACCCGCAGTAATGAGGGGAGACATGATCGAAGTGTATAAGTGGAGGATGGGTATTGATAGGAGGGATATTGGTGGGGTCTTGAGGATGTCTCTCCAAGAGGGAGCCCGCTGCGGTGGATTTAAATTGGATGGGTTTGGATTTGGAGGGGACGTGGGAGGGTGTTGGTTTGGAAATGGGGTGGTTGATGAGTGGAACAGTCTACCTAGTTGGGTTATTGAGTTGGGTTATTGACTTTGGGTAGTTTCAAATTTAGGTTGGATAAATACATGAATGAGAGGGGTTGGATTTGAGTGGGACTTGCACATCGGAGCTTATTTCTTGGGTAGCATTGAAAATTGGGTTGGGCAAATGTATTTGTTAGTGGGATAAATTGTAAAGGACCTGCCTAGTATGGGCCAACAGGCCTGCTGCAGTGTTCCTCCTTTCTTATGTTCTTATATAATATATGCCCCTTACCAAGGTATGTTTCTATCATTGTTCTAACCACATCACCAGAGATGCCCAATAACTTCCTGGTATTTTGCAGTGTATAACTTCCAGTGTACACAATAATATCCAATACCAGACCACTATAACAATCACAAAGCACAAACAACTTTATACCAAAGCTTTTCCTCTTGCTTGGTATGTACTGCTTGAAAGAGGGAGTTCCTTTGAACAGAATCAAAGACTCGTCAATTACAAGCTTCATGAAGGGATAAAAATACATATTGAATTTCTCTTTCAGATACACAAACACATACCTAATCTTATATAACCTGTCGTTTCTGTCAGGCCTGGTTTTGTCTTAGAAATGAAGCATACGTAACATTAGCACAAATCGATTCACTGGCATTATATCACTGAAACCTGGGGTTGCAATCAGGCGGTCTGTTGACCAGTATGATTTCACTTCGTGCTTATACACATGTGGCATAAGCATTATTGTGGCAAAGAAAAGATACATCTCAGCCACAGTTGCCTCCTTCCACTGGTGTAGACGTGATTTTGGTGAAAGTAATGTGTTTGCTATGGTGTACTCGAAGTATGTGTTGCTTTCCATGCCAATACTTTCGATCAAGGGTTCATCAAAGAATAACTCGAAACATTCCAGTTCAGTGGCATTGTTCCCAAGTGTACAAGATGGCCGTATTCCACTTTGGCAGTCTTCAAACTGGTGGGCATTTGGAACAAAATTGACAGCTTCCTGCCAATCCCAGGTGTGGTCTGCTGGTGGGTACTGGACAATGATAGGTGGTTGTGGAGGTTGTGGTTGTGGAGGCTGGTGTGGTGGGTGGGTGGGGGATGGTGGCCTTTGTTGTAGATCAGCTGAGGCAGCGGCGTGGGTGGCAGCATGGCCCACTGCTGGTGCCTCACGGCCGTCACCACCACTACCACCATCATGCACATTTTCCATCCCAATTGCAACACTATCATCATCATTTTCACTGTCTGTTCCTGTTGTACAGCCACGGGATGTACTTCGAGATGTACTCCTTCCCCTTGGATTAGCATATGGCACACTACCAGAGCGCATATATCGTCGTATATACTGACGCTTCACTGGGGAATATTCCACTTCACTATCACTACTGGAACTGTTTTCAAGAGCTTGTAGTTCATAATCACTATCACTCATCACTAATGCTCACATCTGAGTCTGGGATTTGGGAAAATAGGAGTTTCCTCTTTTATTCTGGTACAACTGAACGTGAACAAGATGGCCCAGCACCAGAGGTGGAAGGCTGAGGGTCGTCTGGGTTTTCCTCACTATTACCGATATTATGGTCATTAGTTTCGGTCAAAACCTCACCAAAACCTTGAAACTCATCTTCACTGGCACTTCCATCTGTATTAGAACTGTTACTGGGGAGCAAAAGTGTCCCAATTCGCCGAGGAGTGAGGAACTTCTTACCGCTAGGCATGGTGGACATTGTGTACTAAGATGGCATTCCCAAAATGCACCACTGGTTCCCATATTTTTTTTCTACCGCACGCACCGACCACACAGACCCATTCTCTCACATCTAGGCCTACCAGCCTTTTCCCGCGAGATTTGACAGCGCTAGAATTTATGCGTATGTACTAGTACGTCCAAAACCCTCAAAGGGTTAAAAGCTAGCATGGGTGGTTCGAGGACTTCAAGAAAAGGGTCGACATTAAAAGTGATGTGAGATGTAGTTTAGAGTTCTGGTGCTGAAAATTTTCAGCTTCAGTTTTAATAGCATGTTATATTGGAGGGTTATCTTCCTCAAGTGTTTAATGTGGACAAGACAGGGATCTGGAAAAGAACGACCAGGCAAACATTCATCACAGAGGGGGAGGCCACTTTGCCTGGGCATAAGCCTATGAAAGGCTTGCTCTGCTGTTGGGTACCAGTGCCTCTGGAGAAAACCTCCAGAGTGTTAAAACAACTAAGAATATCCGAGGGCAGTTTGGGTGTTTTCTGGTGATGCTACAAGGTCTGGGTGACAAGACAATTCGGGTAATGGGCCCAAGAAGTGTTTTGTCCGTCAGTCAAGAGCTATCTACTGATCAACAAACTTCCTCTAAAGGCATTGTTACTGTTGGATAATGGATCAGGACATGATCCTGAACTTGCCAATCTCTGGAGGCAGAATTTAGCTTTGTTACTTTTAAATTCCTCTCACCGAACACCACTCCTCTGCTTCAGCCTATAGTCCAGCAAGTGATTGCAGATTTCAAGATGATTTACACCAAGAATATGTTAACCAAGTGCTTTACAGGAGACTGAGCCATCACCCTCAAAGGCTTCTGGATGACTAAGTTAAATATCTTATATTTTGAGAGGCTCATAGTGAACTCCCAGAATGAATTCAAATTCAAATTCAAATTCAAATTTTATTCTCTCTAAGGATTACAATGCTGAGTTTACAGAATTTGGTTATTGTGTGGTTTACATGTAGTAAAATAATAATTACAGAGTGTACCACTAGAACACCTAGCATGGCTAGGCATTTTGGGCAGACTTAGATTAAATCTTAAGTTTAAAATATTACAAAATTATGAGGTAAGTTGGTATTATGGCTAAGTGACTAAATACTAGTTTGTGAGTTTAGCAATGTGAATGCTTTTGTTTTGGCACTATACATAGTCAGTGATTGAGTATCACAGGCAACATTAGACAATGGAGCATTATTAACATGAATGACTTTCATGGTTGTATCGTCATGGTGAGTGAGTAAGTGAAAGCGAGGTGGGTTCGTGCTAAGAAGGGTTGGACGGGGAAGGGGTAAAGATGTTTTTGTGGTAGTGAAGGGGCTGATGGTCAGTCTAATTCAGGGCCATTTGAGGCCTTGATGAATTTGATAAGATTAGTGAATACGGGAGCAGAATGTTTGTGTCTTTTAATCTTGACGTTCTGCCTTCAGAACTTTAGGTCAAGTGTATATGGAATTTAAGCAGATGTAAACAATTGTTATGACAGGGAATTTAGTGAAACCGGGCAGGCGGGCTTGTAGTCCTGGAGATGGGAAGTACAGTGCATTCACTTCTGAAGGGGGGTTTATTGTTGGTTATTTTGCAGTTTAAAGATTTCTGAGTGACCAAGCACCATTAGCATGGATAGGATCAGTGAATGGTAGGTGAATTGATGGATTAGATCGTATTTAATCCAACTGTTTGGAACCTTTGGGTGTTGGATATGGCGTGTGATAATAAGTGTTTGAGTAACTAGGAATGCTATTTGTTGCAATACATGCTTCGTATTGGAGTTAATTGGCAACTTATGCTCGCTAATAACAATTATTATTTGTAGATTAAGGATTGATATTTCTGTTTCATGGTCAATTGGTGAGTGAGTCGTAGTGTGAACACCAGGTGTTGGTGAAATTAGGTGACAGGTGATATCAGGGAGAAAGAATGGTTTTTGATGGTAGTTTTGAAGCGATGATATGATGTCATACCAGTTCTTAAGTTTTCAGGTTGTTCCGATTTTGAGGCGCTTTGGACATTGAACCTTTGTAAGTTAGTCGAAAAGGCAAGAAATTGCTCTATACATATTGTGTTTGGGTAGTATGCCTGTGGTTCTGTCAAACCTATCAAGAAAATTTTAGGATAAGTTATATTGAATTTAAAGGTCCTTAGATTTTAGATTGCACAGTTAGTAAGTTTGGATTTTCTGAACAGGGAGTAGTTTAGATCTATGAAGAGTGGGGGGGGGGGGTGTTGCCAGTGATGGGATTTAGTGATTATTCTTACTGCGCTTTTTGTTGGGTTATTATTGGCTTTAGGTGTGTTGCTGCAGTTGAACCCCAAGCACAGATAGCATAGGTGAGGTATGGATATATAAGTGAATGGTATAGTGTGAGAAGGGCAATTTGTGGCATGTAGTATCGTATCTTGGAGAGGATCCCAACCGATTTGGATACTTTTTTGGTTATGTGTTGGATATGGGTGCTGAAATTCAGGTTGTTGTCGAGGTATAGGCCTAGGAATTTGCCCTCATTATGTCTGGCAATTAGAGTGTTGTCGATCTTAATGTTAATTTGCGCATCTCCTGCTCTGCTACCAAACATAATGTAGTAGGTTTTGTCAGTGTTAAGTGTAAGTTTATTGGCTGTCTTCCAAGTCGATATTTTGATCAGCTCCTTGTTAACAATGGTGTTGAGGGTGGCAAGATTAGGGTGAGAGATGACATAAGTCGTGTCGTCAGCAAAGAGAATGGGGTTCAGGTATTTGAGATACGTTTGGAAGATCATTGATGTATATGAGGAAGAGCAGGGGACCAAGGACACTTCCCTGTGCAACTCCAGTATCAAGTGGCCGTGTTGTTGATGCTGTGTCTTTAATGGTGACATACTGATACCTATTAGTAAGGTAAGATTTGAAATATGCAAGAACATTGCCTCTTATACCATAATGGTCAAGTTTGTGGAGTAGGATGCCGTGGTCTACTGTGTCAAATGCTTTTCTTAGGTCAGTAAAAATTCCTAGTGGATATTCCTTATTTCCAATGCTGTGTAAAGCAGATCTAGCATTTTTATGATTGCATCGTTAGTGCTTTTATTTTTCCTGAATCCAAATTGGCAGGAGTTGAGTATGTTTTGTGCCGTTATAAATGAATATAGTGAAGGTTCCACTCAGTGCCTCAGTGCAGCATGGAAGAACTTGTGACCTTCAGTCACCCATGACTTGAAGAATTTGAGGCTGAGGAGGATGTGAACCTGGATAGTCTCAGTAGGGCTGAAGGTTGATGAATAAGATGTGGAGGAATTCATTCTGGTCTACAGACAGGAGTTGAAAACAGAGGAGTTTCAGGAATTAGGGAAGGGACAGTGGGAAGGAGGAAGTGGAGGAAGATATCGACAGGATAAGAGCTGTACAAATTCAGAAGTTGCTTACTCATTTGGAAGGTGTGAAAAGAATCATAAGAAAGCACCCAGATATTGGTAAAACTGAACTTGCTTCTTGTGTTTTTAAAGATAATGTATTGTCTTTTTTAAGAGCTTCAGAAGCTGATCTGTTGTTAAACCTCTCCACTAAGTGGCACCAGTCACTGGATGAATCCAAAGTCAGCTGTGTGGTAGCACTGGACATTGCTGGTGCTTTTGACCGGGTGTAGCACCAGGGCCTCTTAGCAAAACTGCAAGCTCTGGGAATTGCAGGCTCTACGCTATGTCTCCTCAGTGATTACCTTCATGGTAGATCTCTAAGGGTAGTTCTCAGTGGAACAGAATCAGCAAGACATCCTATTGGGGCAAGTGTTCCACAAGGAAGCATTCTGGGACCATTGTTATGGAATGTCTACTTCAATGACCTCCTTCATCTCATCCCAGAATCCCATGCATATGCAGACGACTGTACACTGACATTCACTTATCCAAGAGAAGAAATGCCAGCTCCTCTAAACTACATCAATCACTAGCTAAGAGCTATATCAGCTTGGGGAAATAGATGGCAAGTAACATTTGCACCTGAGAAAACACAAATGATGATCTCTAGGCTCCATGATGGTAATACCTGGTACAGTAGTAAGGATGAATGGGAGGGTGTTGGCACTTGGGGAAGAAGTTGATATCCTTGGGGTAAAATTTAACTCCAAACTGACCATGAAAAACCATGTTGTAAGTCTTGCAAACAAGGCAGCCAGGAAGCTTACAGCACTTCGCCATATCTCGCACCTGCTTGACAACAGGGGTTGCAAGATTTTGTACAAGGCACAAGTACACTCATACCTTGAGTATGCTCCACTTTCTTGGTTCACCTGCCCCTCTTCTCATCTGCGACTGCTTGACGGAGTAGAAAACAGAGCAAGACGTCTCATCTCTCGCCTGAACCAGCCCTGGATAGATCTGTCATTTCAGCAGAGCCTTCAACACAGGAGGGATGTGTGTGGCCTTACTGTTATGTACAAGGCCAATATTGTCAAAGTACCACACTTGGATCCACTTCGAGGACAGCATGAAGCAAGCTTCTATACCACAAGATGGGCAGAAAGCAGCAACTTCACTTTGGCTGTACCCTTCTCCAGAACATCACGTCATCTGAGATCATTTATCCCCAGGATGACTCGAGTATGGAACACATTCTTACAGCATTATGATGTCAACGAGATAGTCAGTTGATCAGATGAAAATGCTGGCCCACAGATGGCTCCAACTTCATCCTGTTCCCTGCTTGTATGTTTCATAACAATAAAAATGCTTTCAAATGAGCTGATGTAGGTAACAGCTCTTAGCTTGTCAATAAAGTTAGGAATCCTTAACCTGTAAATAGCTTGTCAATAAAGCTAGGGATCCTTAACCTAACCTTGTCATACCCTGTGTAAAAAAAAAAAAAAAAAAAAAGACAGAATGAAACAAATGCCTCTGGACAGTTTTTTCAAGAGGCAGCAGTTGGAGCTTCTCTTCCAACCAGTAACCTCCTTTCCACCATCTTCCCATCATCACACCACCAACTCAAATTCAAGGAATGAATTACCATAAAACCATGTATTTTGAGGTTTGAGTTAAAATAGTTTCGAGGTAAGATATTTCTTCTGGAATGAATTAATATTATAACTCGTGGGATCATTGTACAGTTATCTCTTGCTTTATGCAACAGATGCTTTTCAGGCCTTTGACAGCTGTAATAAGCTCTCTCAGGCTATCGACACTTAATTCTACAAAATAAAATTAAGTGAACAGTGCTGATTGCATGCACTGAGTATACAGTATATATAATGCTAGAAATGGAGCATAGCATAGCAATGAATTTGTTTAAGGTGAACCTATATAAAACTCGGAAATCCCATACACTACAGGAGGGCACCACTTATACAACAGGTTAAGTTCCAGGCTACCGCCATAAAATGGAAATCGCCATAAAACGAATCGCACTTTTTTCACTTATAAATGCATATACAGTAGGACCCCCGTATCCACAGGGAATACGTTCCAAGGACCTGCAGTGAACACCAAAATCGCAGATAGTAGTGAACCCTATGTGTGTCATTTTTTGTTTACTTGCATACCTACTATAAAATTTAATTGATAAATTATGCTCAGTAAATGGAGAAATATCACTTTTTCACTGATGGGAAGCACTTTATGGTACTTCTCTTAGGCTTTGAAGAGCTTCCACCATCACTACTTTTGCACTTTGAAGCCATTATTAATCCTTTGAGGGTTGGTCACGTACAAGTACGTCATTGCAGCCAGGGTCGGTCACATACTTGTACGCCTAAATTCTAACGCCTTCAAATCTGGTCAAAGAAAGCTGGCAGGCCTACATATGAAAGAATGGGTCTGTGTGGTCAGTGTGTGTAGTATTAAAAAAATCCTGAAGCATGCTGTGCATAATGAGAAAAAAAACTCTGACCGTCTTTTTGGTTTAAAGCCGTGAATTTCTAGTGTATTTTTGTATGGTATTTATGGTTGTATTCCCAATTCCTTGGTCTCATTTGATAGATTGGAAGATATACTACAGAAATAGAGATGATTTTTATTTGTTTCACTATGGCAAGTACCTTGAAATTGTGCTCAAAGTAGTGAAAATGATCGATTTTTGCTGATGTTCAAGAGTAAACAA